AAGAAGAAGAACAGTTTCCTGATCATATGTTGATGACCATGAAGCAGTTCAAAATTCTGAATCAGAAATTGAATTCAATAATTCAATCTCAAGCAGATCTAGGGGTGGTTCATTTGTTTCTAGTTTGGAGGTTGATTCACTGTTGAAAATGCTCGAAACCAGAGTGGTTAGCAAAGTATCTGGAATGATTACTGACTCTGAGTCTCGAATTCTGGAGAAGGTTGATTATAATGATCAAAATAATGAAGTTCGGATCAAATCTCAAAATTCAATGTTTACCAGTGATGTGAAAAAATTGAAGAACGTCGCAAAGGAAAGGCATGTTCTTTTTGTGCAAGAAGTGAAGAAGGTCAGGGAGGATGTAAATTTGCAGATTCACGAACTTCGTGAAGATATGCAAAAAGAAATTGTCACTGTTCAACAAGATTATGCATCCTTAAATCAAAGGTTGATATCATCTGTGATGCAGTCACACGATTTGTTAAATTGTATGAAAGTTTGAGTCCTCAAATAACTCACTTTCAACATCCAAAGTGCAAGCTTTGAGGAGTACTTAAGTCTTTAAGGAGTTAAAAGAGATTTATGATAGGCCGGTTTCTTCTCCATTGATTACTCCTGAATTTTTATCCCAGAAGTTTATCCAATTCGAAGCCATTCTCAATAAGCAACTTGCTCCTCTCTTTCGCATATCAAGCCTTCTTCCAACAACAAATGCCCTGCCTGTTTTCACAGGGGTGCAAGGGGGAGAAAGAAAAACTACTGAGTCGAAGGCTAGTGGTGAGGATGCGAAAGTTGTGGGAAAAGTTTTTTCATCAAAAATCCCAACAACAAAACCAGTAATAATTTCTGCTGAACTGATTACTTCAACTGTTGTAACAACAATGCCAATTGCAAGACCAATTTCGAAAGGAATTGTTATTGGTAAATCTTCAGAAACTGGTGGGAGTAATTCGAATCCAAAAGAGACAATTGTCAATCCACCCTTGAAAGATAAAGGGAAATCAGTTGTAGTGGAAAAGTCGAAAGAGGAAAAGAAGGCTGAAGCAGAAGCTGAACTTGAAAAACTGAGGATTATTCAAAGCATTATGACTCAGCGTGCTAGTGATCCGAAGGGAATGGATAAAGGTGATCCAGCTAAACACTATAATTACGAAACAATTGAGGCCAAGGTTTCTTTTAATCACATGTATACATTCGAGAAGAAACCAAAGCAGAGTTATTTGGTCACGAATACTAATGCAAGCCAGCTGGATTTTCCCATAAACGAAATGATGTTTATCATGCCTCAGTTCAAAGCAGAAGGGAATTTTAAAAATAAGGATGAAGGTACACACATGAAAATTCATTTTCATGCTGTTCTTGGAAAAGCCCCTGAGGAAGTTTGGTCTTTAATAAAAATCAAGAAGATCATAAGTATGAAAAAGGATGTGATTTTCGAAAACACAGTCCAGAATGTTAAGTATGTGGTTGCCAGGGCAAATGGAAATATTTGCGAGTTCACTGTTGCTGATTTTCTATTGATGAACTTGTATGATCTTATACAAGTTGCATTACTTCTAAAAGACAAATCATTTTCATTCCTTCAAAACACTGAACCAGATGAATTCAAGCTTGGAGTTGCTCACATCAAGATTTTTATCGAAAACTATTATGAGTGCTTGACACTAACAGATGTGGAATTAGCTACTGCCAAAGGAATGGAAATAAAAGCACCGATGGCTCCTACGAAAACTCGGGCGGAATTGAAGAAATATGCTGATGGTGAAAATTTGCCTGAAGCCTTTTGGAATGGTCTTCGCAGGAAACGACAAAGCTGGAAAAGCTAAACGGTTCTTATTCCAAGCAAGTGAAGTAGAAAGATATTCAACATCTCAATATACGAACTTGATTGTTCGTATAAATCATTGCAAGAAGAACAATGAAGGAGACAAGAAAGAGCTGAAGAAGATTATCTCCTGGTACACGGAGATTCGAAGAGTGTTACTATATTCCATCACACTTCTTATGAATTGAAGACTTTAACTATGATTACAAAGGGGGAGATTGTAAGGGTCGAATTGTTGTAATTAGTCGAAAAATATTTTGTACTCTTCGAATGTTTTGTAATGTATTTTACTAGGGCGCTTTTATTCGAAGCTTTAGAGTCAATGCCTTAGTATATTTTTTGTACGCTTTCGGTTCCCTATAAATAGGGGTTATTTACTAGAGTTAGATAAGAGTTTTTACAGACCTGTCTATTTTCTCTGTAAACATTCGAAAGCGTAAATCAAGCTGAAACAAGATCATATTTACATCTGGTGTTCAATCTTGCATTCATACTTGAATTCATACTCTGATTAATTCAATACTCGTTTCATTGGTTCATCAGGAAGCTAGTCTTAAATTTTAGGATGTTACAATTATCTACCCCTTAAAAGGATTCCGTCCTCGGAATTACCTCGTGAGCCATCTCATTAGAATTTCATCTCATAACTTTTCAATTTTTCTCAATGGTCACATTACTTTGGTCATTTGTCACAATTGCATTCCCCCTAATAATCAATACTACATAGTTAGGGGATATTAACCTTCTTGGATACTTTTAAGCCTTTGTGCCTTTTTGAACTTTTAACAACATCATGCAATAAGGTTATCTAACCTTAAGTCAACATTTCTCTATCTCCTTACTCAAGTTCTAATTTGCCTAAACCTATCCCTTCGTGCTAATCACGTCACCAACATTCCATTCTCACTAATTCCATTAGTAAGTCATTTTCAAGACTTAGTTGCTGATATATCTTTTCATCTTGCCCTTTTTGACCTTCACTGGTATTAAAGTCTCAAACATAACATAGTATCTTCAACATGGCTTAACTGCCTAATAAACCACGATTTGTAAGGTCAGTATACTCCCATTTCGTATGGCCTACATTTCATAACACATTATGGTACACATACCATTTCAATTCTATTTCTAAAATCGTAATTTATCCATTATTGGATTTCATACTTAGAGTCTAATCACTCTTCATCATCCCTCATTTTGTACATAAGGTCTAAACTACCCTTAAGTTTATACTTTGTTTCCTATACTTATCATTCTCCATTCGTTGCACTTGATTATACCCTTAAGCATAAACATGTTATTTACACTATGGTGCATTACACCTTCAAATTTAGTTCACTTTTAACTTCCATTCCATTATGTTTTATCACTTAAACTCCTACTAATACTTCTACCTTTCTTCCCAAAAGTCTTACTTTAAGGTCATAAGAATGACAATTTACCCTCAACCAGGTTTGCAAGTCAACTTATAGTATTCATCAAGATAATCCAATCATGTATATCATTCCTTGTCTACTACCGTTGTAAGAACATGTTGTATATTATCGCAGTCTATATATAGTTCTTGAAGATTGTCTCTATCCATTTTCATTCAATTTAACTGACGTCTCAAAATGAAATCTCATTTCATGAGTTCACACATTTCTTATGTCTACAAGCCTAAGCATACCATGAAAAGAAGATCTAAAGCACATGGTGTTGCTTCAACCCAACTTTCAAAATCTTATTGGGTCCAAATTATCGCATCCCTTGTAACTTGACCCTTCCCAACTATCTACCCCTTAAAAGAAATAAGGGTATTTCTTTTAAGGTTAATACACAAGATGATCCTGATCATGTAGCAAGATGTTTCATTTATTTCTTCACGAAAATTCGTCGCCTCACATTTACTTCTCATGGACCTAGAATTCCAACTTTTGCCTTTTACCATCGATCGTGTATGGCTTCTATCACAATTTCATCATTCATATGTCCTTCAACATTGTTGCTTGAGTACTTGGCTCTTTCATTCTGCACTTCGTCAATTTAGCTTCTTAAGTATCATGATACTTTACATCTTTCTATTATTGTCCCAAACCTATGATTGCACAAGCAACTTTTTTTATCAATTGATTTTTATATCCTTTGGTCACTGTTGATTAACCCATAATGGTTTGAGTCAAACTCATATCCTCTATATGAGCTCATAACAGAAGATCTCATTATCACAAGTCTGCCCACTACTAGAAAACAACCCTTTAATGACGCGCGAACAATGACACTCGGTGATTTACAATACGCATTTTTGTGCGTCCTAAAATGATGTTGAATTTCCAAAATTTGAAGGATAGAGGACGCCCATTTATGCGCACCCTAAAATTTGTGTCCAACAAAAAAAAACTACAAACACGGAGGGCACCTAAATTAAATGGGTGTCGTATATATATGTCGTTTTATAAAATTTTATTACGCGCTCCCTCCTTAATAACTAAGGGGCCGGCGGGAAACAAAATCCCCAAATTTTTTGAAGACTTGTTCATTCTCTCCTCTCCAACAATCGACGACTTTCATTTTCTATCTCCGTTCTCTCTGAAACCCTAGCATCCACCACTACCAAAAATATGGTTTTATGTTGGATTAAAAGGTATATATCACTATTCTTGAAAGGACTATGAATAAGGAAGAGTTGGTCAGGAAATTCACTCGATCTTCTGTCACTCTCGTGTTTTCAACACATAAAATACATACAAACCTCGAAGATCAATTTCAAGTTTTTGAATAAGAAACTAAGCTGCTTTCTTCTCTGTCTCCGATGATGTGAAGAACCCTCAAAAGTCATTGTGATTTCAAAACAAACCCCTACCCCCTAGAGTCCAGACGATTCTTCTCTTTCGACATCACATAAAATCTACGGTTTCTACTTCTTCTATCCCTTTGATTTTGTCCGGAAATTCCACCATTCTTAGTTTCTCACCCTCAAATCCACCGCATTGCACCTCTTCCCCTTTTCAGGCATATTTTAACTTATAATATAAGAAATTCGACATTTTCTCAGTTGATTTTGATTCTTCGGTCAATGGAGAAGATAAAACCTGGAAAGAAAGATTCAAAGACCTACACATGAGAGATTTATTTTTGTTGTTTTTGGAGTTGCCAACACATTCGCATAGTAATCTAGGCCTTGTTAAGCAGGAAAATGGAAGAAGTGAGAAATCAAAAGGTGATCTTTAAGGATTACGTTAATGGCTTCCCCAAGGAATCAGTCTTGATCCTTACAACTTCTGCCACCGTCCCTCTCCAGCTCCCGCCACAAGGTTCCAATGGCATCCTCCTCAAGAACCTTTATCTCTTCTGCGATCCTTATATGTGTGGTCGAATGACCAAAATTGAAGGCTGTTACGTTTCTTCCTTTACTCCTGGATCGGTATGAAGTGTGCTCTCATTGAAAAATCCGTCGTTAGGATTGTGCTTTTCTATTCGAAATGAATTGGGACACCCAATCATTTGTATATTTCAAGTGTATATTTTGAATTGGAGATCTCAATCTTTTCAATTGGGGATTCACCGGATGGCAAGAATACAACATTATCACTGCTCCTGATATCCTATTCAAGATTCAACATACAAATGTCCCTCTTTCCTATTATACAGGAATCGTTGGTATGTTTTCTTTTTCATTAAGGATATTTAAGATTCTGTAAATTAGGGATTTTGAATTTTGTAAAATGATTTTGTTTTTTTTGTAGTGACTTGTGGTTTACACTTTCTCTGTAGAAATCTAACTTAAACTTGTATTATGTTGTTTCTAGATTCTTGATGCACGCCCACTGTTTGATGTAATGCCAACAACACTTTAGAAACTACCACCTAGTAGTATTGTTGCTAGGTCAAATACTGGATCAATGATCATTCTTGCACACATGATTGTTGTAGCATCTGTTTCCTTAAATTCACAACAGGTGAGCATAATCATCAAAAAAAATTCAAAATTAAAGATTACTTTTCTAAAACCTCTTTTATACCAGGTGTTCCCTGAGGATCTTCTTCTTCAACTTTTGAAACTAATGCTGCATCCAGATGTTGGAATACGTTTGATTGGAAACCAACTCTTTTCTGTTCTTTTCATTCCAACTTCTAACCATTTGAGGCGTGATACCGATGCTTCTACTTCTAATCAAACAAGAAGATGGAGTTCTGATACTGCATCAATGTTTGCCTCTGTTAAATCTTTACTTGATAAGCTTCATGGAGAAAAAAATGGAAAAGAAATTGTTTATATTCAAGATGGAGTTCTGATACTGCATCTGTGTTTGCCACTGATAATTATTGTTTTTCACATTGCAGATGAACGATGGTGTCCATAAACATTGCAGTTTATCTCTTTGAAATTGCAAGTCCAATAAAGAACTCGGATCTTGAACTCTTTTCACTTCCAGCACTCTATCAAAGATCAGTCACTTGACCTTATATGGAGAATGGTGGAGTCTGTTGACACCAATGTTTCTGTTACAAGATTGACTAATGGTTTCGTGCCATTTATTTATTTATTTATTTTTTTATAAAAATCTATAACGATTCATATAAATGACCAAAAATTTATGTAAATGTAATCAAGAATAGTAACAACAAGAACTAAAATGTATCTATCACAACACACATGGATTATTCATATTGGGCTTTTCTCACACTTGGTCCACAAGTTTGCAGGGCATATGGCCCGTTTACCTTTTATAAAAAGAAATGAAGTTGTAAAAAGGAATTTGACAAGCTTTCTTCATACCCCTGCTAAGAAACATGTTGCTGCAACCAAGAAGAAGTTTTAAAAAGGAATGAAGAATATGTAATGCAGAACATAGATTTTATTAAAAGAAATGAAGAATCTGTGCAGATGAATGATATGGAGGTGCTGAGATTAGCTAAAGTTGTTGAAGAGATGAAGTCAATAGTCAAAGGACTCGAGTCAAATCTTACCGAGATCTGTTTTTTTGTTATGCTAAATCTGTTGATATTGAAGTTTTTACAAAGTAATCCCTTGATTTGTTAAACAACGTAGAGAGAAAAAAATGTTAGAATATCATGAAACAACACAAGATTCATTTGACATGTGATTATTGCATTGGTTGCCTAAATAATATAAAAGTGACAGCATATAGTCTTGTTAGCTATATAATATGTGAGTGTATATTCTTTTTGACTTAATGCACAAAATAGTAAATGACTAATTTACCCTTGTTGTTGCAGGATTTGCTGAGAAGTAAGAGACATAGGGCACATGTGGGATTTCCATTGTTGTTTGTATTAAGATTTAATATGATAAAATGCATTTTAAATATAAAGCACACATGTTGAAGATTTTTATTATACTCCATATATAGAAGAGTGGCTTTTAGATCCGTCTGTCTTAACTGGTTTTCAAAGATTGCTTGATTTTCTTGCTAGCTTACTTGAATAGCCACGTGCCAAGGTATTCTTTTATTTATTAAGTTGTTGCTTAAAAGTTAATATTTGCTAATTTTTAATGATTTCTCTACTATCTGATTGAGTCTAGGCTTTTCTATTTATTAAGTTGTCGCTTAGCGCTTTAAGCGACCTGAAGCGGCGCTTTTTAAATGCAAGATTATTATGGTGTTTCAGGCTTTAAATTTGATTATGCTTACATCTTCTGAGTTGGGTGAGCTACGGGATCTTTTAAAGCTTTCATTAGTTAATGTTGGTGGAAAATACTTTTTTCTTTCACTTTATACATCATGGAGCCATTCATCAATGGCCATAATAAGTCTTTGCTTATTAGCACAGGCAAGTCTCAAAAAATAATTTTCTCTTCTTTTATCTTCATTCTCACATAATAAAAACTAGGAGGGTATTTTAATTTTAATATTAATTTTTGGGAATGTTTTGTTGAAGGCTTACCAGCATACGAGTTCTGTGATCCAGTCTCTAACAGAAGAGGATATTAATGTAAATATTTTGGTTCAGTTGGATAAACTGATCCACCTATTGGAGACTCCAATTTTTGCTTATCTTAGGCTTCAGGTAACTTATATATGTATATACATTCATTATTAAAGCTGAGCGAGTATGGTTGGATATGCGATAAAGATGTATGGAAAATACTTGGTTTATTGTTTATGTTTGTTTTTGTTTTTACAGCTTCTTGAAGCTGGAAGATATATACGATGGGTTTTGAGCATTCTAACACTCCTAAGGTGTACATGCAACCCTAGCAACCTTGGATCTATGTTTTCTCTAAGATACATGCAAATAATAATTTTCCAAGGTTTACATCCTAACTAGTATGGCATGGGGAACTTGAATCATAAAATGCTAGAAGAATTACATACCTTTTAGTAGTGGTTGATTCCTTGAAATTTGAGAGCCTAGCACCAATAATGTGGATGGCTCAAATGGAAGTCACAAATCACCACAAACTTTGGAAAACTATGAGAATGTATGTATGCATTATAGAAATCGGCGACCCTTTGTTCTCACACACACTAGTGCCAAATCAACTGCCAAGGACTCCTTTATATAATGTGGAGGATTAGGGTTACATTCCATGTAAACCCTAATACCCATGACTCTTCCTTTCCAAGGATCCATGGGTTAAAAGCTCCATGGACTATCCATGGACTCCCATGCAAGCCTAGCCCATTCCAAATGAGTATTAGCCCACACTATATAAATACAAGAGCCCATATTTAATTAGCCACCTTTTTTATCACCAAATTAATTCTAAATTAATTTAAGATCAATACTAATTAAATAATAATATGATTTCATATTAATATATTATAACTTATAATATATTAATAAATCATAAACATACTATTCTCAAAGGATTATCCATACAAATAGTCCGGGTGAAGTGCAACCCAAATGGACCATGCCGGGTCGAGTCAAGTATATACCAAATAAAGTTATGGACTTAGACACCTTATCCAATAGTCTTCCACTTGCATAAGTCTAATAACTATATTTGCCTATATGACTTCAGGAACCAACCGGCAATCGTAGCTCTTAAAACTCTGTTGAACTATGAAGCGCCATTTCAGATAAGTGATCATATAATCCTCTGTTCTCAAGATATCAGCCGGACAAATACATGGAACAATGTCGTACTTGTTGTCCAGCAGTTTGTTTCCCGATTTCCGATTTGTTTGACATAAAACTAAACTGAACACATCAATTTGGTTCTGACCGGGCCCGGTACATAAGTCAAAACAAAATCATCGAGGGGCCCAGATATCGCTTCTAATCCTCCAAGGACTAGAAGGAACATATAAACTTCGACTCATATGCTTGTTCTACTACTTGTTGAATTATACACAAAGGCCTGTTTTATAACATGAAGTTACTGATGCGTTTTCGTGCAATCAATGCACAACCAACTCATAAGCAACAACTCATATCTCTAGGTTTGAAGACTTATATGATATTACCGTCTCACGATCACTCGAGATAAATTCCATGAAGTGATGCAAGTGAGCATGGGTTTAATCCAATACTCAGAACTTATGAGCATTCATGAATGTTGTAGGAACTCTTTACTATGTCCAACACCTTAGACATCTACAAGCCCAATTCATGACAATCTTAATTCATACCTACTTCCGACGTATGACCGACTGTGGAGAGTTTGAATTAAATAATTATTCTGGAAGTCAAAACAAGCAAAGCTGAAACAATAGTAAATAATTGACAAAGATAGTAACACTTACTCATAAATAAACAACAAATTTTATTCATCATCAAATGTCGATTACATTTTACAAGTTTCAGAAATAGCTATCTAATCTGTAAAACTAATATCATCCCTCATCCTGATGCGCCTCGCATGCTGCAAATGCCTAACCCTCGTCATTCCCTTTGTGAGGGGATCTGCAGGGTTCTCTTCTGATGATACCATATTTGCCACGAGGAGTCCTTCTTCTATCTTGTGTCTTAGGAAGTGATATTTTATGTCAATGTGTCTGGATTGGCCATGATCTCTCGGTTCCTTGGCTAAAGCAACCGCATTATTGCTGTCATAGAAAATCTCCATAGGCTCCTTTATAGCTGGTACAACTCCAAGGTCTCCGATAAAGTTCTTCAGCCATATCGCCTCCTCGCCGCTTGACTCGCTGCTATGTATTCTGATTCACACGTCGAATCAGCCAATGTTTCATGTTTGGAACTCTTCCAAATAATTGCCCCTCCATTCATGGTAAAGACCCAGCCCAACTTAGAGCGCAAATTATCCCTATCAGTATGAAAGCTAGCGTCACTATACCCCACTACTCTTAAGTCATCACTCCCACCAAGGGTAAGGACCCAGTCCTTAGTCCTTCGCGGGTACTTGAGAATGTTCTTTACCGCAGTCCATTGAGCCTTGCCAGGATTCCCCTGATATCTACTGACCATGCTCAAAGCAAATGCCACATCAGGTCGAGTACAAGTCATAACATACATGATCGAGCCAACAACGGAAGCATATGGTAATCGACTCATCTCAGCCATCTCAGCCTCTGTACTCGGGCTCTGAGCCTTGCTCAGTTTGGCATTATGTTGGATCGGTAAGTCACCTTTCTTGGAATTCTGCATGTTGAACCTTTTCAACACTTTATCCACATAGGTGCTTTGACTAAGTCCAATTAGTCTTTTACTCCTTTCTCTCACTATCCTTATCCCTAGGATATAGGCAGCTTCCCCAAGGTTCTTCATAGCGAAACACTTCCCAAGCCAGGACTTAACCTCCTACAAGGTTCGGATGTCATTTCCTATGAGTAGTATGTCATCCACATACAACACCAAAAAGCTAACTATACTCCCACTAGCTCTGACATATACACAGGATTCATCTTCGCTTCTCGAAAAACCAAACTCTTTGACTTTCTCATCGAAACAAAGATTCCAGCTGCGAGATGCTTGTTTCAATCCATAAATGGATTTCTCAAGTTTGCACACTCTATTAGAGTACTCTGCATTGACAAAACCCTCTGGCTGACTCATGTAAACATCCTCAGCCAACTTTCCATTAAGAAAAGCGGTTTTGACATCCATCTGCCATATTTCATAGTCATGAAATGTAGCAATGGCTAGCATAACCCTGATAGACTTAATCTTCGCTATTGGTGAGAAGGTTTCATCATAATCAATATCCTGAGTTTGAGTGAAACCCTTCGCAACCAGTCGCGCCTTATAAGTATGCACCTTTCCATCCATGTCGGTTTTCTTCTTGAAGATCCACTTGCACCCGACTGTCTTATGGCCTGGTACATTGTCAACCAAGTTCCTAACTTGATTGTCATACATGGACTGAATCTCGCTGTCCATAGCCTCTTTCCATTTAGCAGACTCGGGGCCTGCCATGGCTTCCCTATAGCTG